CCCAACCGTCCCATGAGAGCAATATCTCCATTTCCCAGATGAGGAGACAGGCTCAGAGAGGTTAAGTAACGTCCCAGATATAATGTCCCAACATATCTGGTTGGGGACAGAATCTAGATGCCGTTGAAAGGAAAAGGCCAGTGTGCATGAGGTACCAACACGGCCTTCATCTCCAGTGAGAGGGAAGTCTTTAAAGCGGTGATTACATCTCTTCTATTCCTGCTCCGAGAAGCCAGGCCCCCGCAGGCGCTGGATCCGGCCTGACCCCTTTGGCCATACAGTGGGGCACAGGTTACTTGGCTGAGGGAGTGGCAGGTTTTCCCATCACACCTGAACTCTCTACTTCCCTCAGGACTGACAGATCCTTTGATGAAGCGGTCATGATCTAAACAGTCGGTTTCACACTCTATCAGGTTTCCTGCTCCATCTTGCTCAAACCAATTACCATTGGAGAGGATGTACTTCAGTCCCTCACCCACAGGCTGTTCCCTCTGCGTGCCCTCTACCCTGATGTCCTGAGAGTACAAGTTGCTAATCTGATTGGCCGGAGTCCAGGACATTCCCTGGGCCCTGCATCACCAGTGGCCAAGCTTACTCCATCTTAAAAGTCAGTGCACCTGTGCTCCCTGAGTGCCTGTTACAAGGTAAAGCCTGCCTTTGTGAGCAGGCATGACCAGGTTCTTCTTTCCTAGCTCTTCCATGTTGGTAACTAAGTGGGCAATCAAGCTGGAGGCAGCAGGGAGCTCCAATCATACCTTCAGCCCAACTTTGAATGCTCCAAAGCAGCTTTCCCTTTAGCTCAGTTATACATTTTTTTTCCTGTTTATCTGGTGGTGTACTGGTAAATGTTTGACAACCAAGTCTTTCTGGAGGTTGGGAAGGGTGAAGAGGACAGGAACAACCCTGATTTGTACATTTGCCAGTTTCCATAGTGTAAATACTCTCACTGTGGCCAGTTTCAAGACGTCAAGTGGCATTATTAGGAAGGAATGTAACATTAGCACATCGTTCTATAGTATCTCTGCTCTACAGACGAAGAGCCATAAATAACTTCGAGTGTAGGTAACTGTAAAATGTAGCAAAATAATTAGGGAGTGCTGAATTTTGAATATTTATTACCTTAGTTTTAAATATAGTTTAATTGTAAGTTGATATAGTTTAATTTTTAACAATGGCTGTATTTAACAACCAGCTTACAAAATTCCTGAAAAGTTAATCACTGGCTCTCATGAGCTGTTCGAGCTGGCTCCAGCACACTACTCTATTATTCCTCTGCATAGGGTGTTCGCTCAACTGGGACCCCATCCTGTTTTCATCTGCCAAGCAACCTTCTCTTTGGGGAACAGCCTCTTCCATTCCATTTCATTCTGGAGGGGCTGACAATCACAGGACCTGCCTCCCCCACCATCCTGATAACAGGACCTGTGACCAAAGCCATGGGATGAAGGGATAGGTGACAGGGCTGGGTGTGGGCATTCCTGGGATGTGACACCATAATACCGTCAACCCCATTCTCACTTGGGAAATTGTGGGAAACAACTCAGCCAACCCCAAAACTATGTCTTGCCAGTATTGAGCCTAATGTTTCCTTCTGATAGCTCACTAGGGCTCCCCCTGTACCTGTGCCCCATGCCGCGGGACAGCCTGGGTGAACCTTGACAGGCCTGAGTTCCAGTCCTGGTTCTGCCATTCCCTAACTCTGTGCTCAGGAACAGCAGGGGTGGTGGAGGGGGGTGGGTGTAAGCTACTTCACCTTTCAGAGCCCCTGTTCCCTCATCTGTAAAACATGCCAAGAGCGGTTCCTATTTCACAAGGTGCTAGTGAGAATTAGATTGTTCACATCAACTGCCTCCCTCTGTGCCCAGTATGCACTTAACTGGTGGCCAATTTTCGAGCCTGGAGGGATGGGGGCGGGGGCTACTGGGCCTCTGGAGAGGGAATGGGAAACAGGGTCCCACTGGACAGCCCTGTCTCCACCTGAGCTCTGCGCTGGGTTTTCCTGATGCCTAGTTTATTCTCATTTATTCTCATTAAGAGTCTCTAGCTCCCCTCACTGCACTTGCCAGCCTGCAGTTTTCTAGAACAGTGGAGCCTCTCTTGTAACAACCAGCCTGGGGCAATGGGAATCTGGCTTCTTCCTGGAGAGGGGAGACAGGGCCTGGAATGCCCAGGGTGGGCAGACTCCCATGGGGAGAACAGAGGTTGCAAACTCTGGGGGACTGTCCAGCCTTTATATGTCCCGCATTGGGTTTTGGAAACACTGGAATTCATTGCTAAGATTTACAACCCAAGAGCTTTTGCCTGACACTGGGCCCACACTCCTGGCTGGGCGGCAGTGGCTGGAACTGACCCCGCGGTCAGGCAGGAGCTCTGGGGCTTGCCAGCCTCCCCCTGGCTCCCGGCGCCACACCCGGGGCGTCCAGCTGGGCCTCACAGGTGTGCACATTTGCATCCTCAAGCTAGAGGTCGCTGCACAAACTTAGGGGCAAGTGTATGTAACATCCAGGGCTCTCACCACCCCATCTATCCATCTATCAGCGTCTGCACCCTTACACCGCAAATACAACCTCCCGCTATCACAGATAAACCATCTCTGCTTCCATCTAAAGCCAATCCCTCTACTGTAAACTAGACCCAACCCCGCTGGTTTACTCAAGGATACCATTCCAGCAATTCCTCATCTCTCTGAAACCGTGGGTTAAATCCATTTCACCTGCCTTCACTAATCAAGGTCGTTTTAAGACTTGCATGTCCTCCAAGCAGCACAAAGCCTAAACAGTAAGATTTTTGCCTGAGTTTTTGTCCAGAAACTTGGAATCAGCTGTGTCTAATTCGATCTGAGTGGGTTAAGACTGGATAGGACCACTGACCCTCTAACTGGGCCTGTGCCAGTGTCCGCTCAGTGACTTTTTTTTTTTTTGCTGTACGCGAGCCTCTCACTGTTGTGGCCTCTCCTGTTGCGGAGCACAGGCTCCGGATGTGCAGGCTCAGCGGCCATGGCTCACAGGCCCAGCCGCTCCGCGGCATGTGGGATCTTCCCGGACCAGGACACGTGTCCCCTGCATCGGCAGGCGGGCTCTCAACCACTGCGCCACCAGGGAAGCCCCCGCTCAGTGACTTTTTGACATCAGAGGGCTAAAACCTCCACCCTCAGAACACGCAGAGGCCTGTAGCCGAGTTACACCCAAGCAGAAGGACAATTACCGCACCTTTTTCCAACCACCTCCCCATGCTCCCCACGCCTCCGGCCACCCTGAGTCTTTATTCACTACCCCATAAATACCCCAGGCCCTTGCCTTGGGGGGCGGACTATACCTGACCTGCGGCTTGTTCGCACAGCTTCTCATCTGGCTGCCTCGCAAATCAGTCCTCTCTTCGCTGCAAACCTTGGCGTGTCAGCATTTGGCTTGCTGTGCGTCAAAGGAGCCTCTTCTACCTCGTCAGTTTTTCTCTACTGGGTCATTCTCCATCAGACCACAAATGTCTGGTCATTTATTCCTTCTTAAAAAACCATTCTGTCAACCCCGCTTCTCCTGCCGGCTCCTGCTCAGATCTCAGCTTTCCTTGAAGCTAAGCTCCATAAAAAGTCATCTACACCTGCTGTCTCTAGCTCGTCTGCTCCCGTTCTCTCCCCCAAACTACTCCACTCAGGTGTTAACCCCCATCGCTCAACCAAAATTGCTCTGGGCAAGATCACCGGTACTGAATCCAAGTTGCTGAATCCAAAAGCGAATGTTCAGGCTCCTCTCACTTGGCCGAGCAGCAGCATTTGTCAGAGCCGACGGCTTCCCCCCGTTACACCCCTTCTTAACCTGTCTTCCGGCTCACTGCTTACTCCTATTCATTCTCCAAACTTGATGGATTCTTTGCCTATGTTCTACTGTGCTGCTGGCACAGTAAGGGCACAAGGGAGTCTAGATGCCAAGCACCAAAACGTTACATTTGATGGAAGATTTTTTTCTATCAACTACGTTACCCTTTGCATACTCCTGCGCTGAGCTGTTGCTCCTCCTGGCCGTAGAGGCAGCACCTGGCAGAGGGACGGTGGCCGCAGCGGGTGCCCCATGGGGGACCCAGCAAGGGGGAAAGGGCAGAAATGCTGTACCATCGCTTCTCGCTTAGCTGGATTATTAATTCCCACAGCCTCCTAACTGCTTTCTCTGCGTCCCTCCTTACCCTGTTCTCAACATAGAGCAAGTCAGATCCTGTTACTCGTCAGCTGAAAACACTCTAACTACTTCCCATCCCACTCGGAGTAAAACCCCAAGTCCTTACTATGGTTTGTAAGGTCCCGCTCGAATGGACCCTCTCTGTACTCGTCCCTACCACTCTCCCCCCACTCCTGCTCCAGCCAGCTGGGCTCTCTGCTGACCCTCAAGCATCCCACCTTCAGCCTTCGCACCTGCCCTTCACCCTGAAACATGCCCCCAGGTTGTCACCTGGCTGTCGCCCTTAACCTTTGTCAAACCTTGTTTAGATGTTGCCTCTTCAAGAAACCCTGCTTTCCTCCTACCCTCAGGACCATCCTCACCCCTACTCTTTTTGTTTTCCCCTTAGCCTGTCATCTTCTGATACCCATTATGGTTTACTTATATTTATTGTCTGCACCCCCCAGCCCCAAGAGCCTAGGAGGGCGCCTAGCACATAACATGCACTCAAATATTTCTTGACTACATGAATTTCTAGGAACGACCGTGTCTTTGATCAGATTATCAAAGAGTTTTGTGCTCCAAAAACCATTTAAAAACTAAACACATTTCCAAGGACTAAAGCTGTTTGAAACAAACTAAGCCCTTGTCCCAGTCCTCAAAGAGCCTTTCCAAGCACGGTCACAGCAACAGATCCAAATATATGTTGCCCTTGGCTTTTCCCAGTCCCCCCACCCCGACTTGGCAGTGTTGGGGATCCCCTCCTCCCTTGAATGCCAGCTGGGCAGCAGCTTCCAGCCCCCGTGAGAGTGCTTCCCCAGCAGCAGCACAGACAGGAGAGAGACCATGAGCTTTACCACTCAAGTGGGCACTGTATGTAGAGTATGTGCTGGGATCAACAAGAACAGCAGTAAATACAGAACAAAAAATAACGATCTTTGAAATGACAACAAACGGGGCACATTATCTAAGCACTAACACCTAAGGAGGCCGCTGCTTAGGCTCTGGTGGGCAGCTCCTCAGGAGAGAGAGGCCGACTTCTTTCCAGGCTGCCTCATCTTCAGGCCTTGTAACTTTTCATCTTTCAGCGCTTTCAAGAATTTATCTGCAGGAGAGCAAAACAAACTTAGCTGTAGGAGACATAAGGGCTTTTTCTAACACTTCCAAAGCAAGCTTCTGGGAAGCAATTGTGTGCTCCCTACATGAGCCCCAAACCCATTATGACCCAAGGTGGGTGAGGGGAAAAAAACCCTAACAGCCAAAACACGTCAAAGTGGAGAATAGGTGGTTGAGAAATCCAGGACTCAGAAAAGCCCAAGTATTCCTGGAGTTTTCTTCCCGAGGATGTGAGGAAGGAGACATTACAGGGTGCCTGATGAATTGGGGACCATTCCTATGGCCACATGGACCTAAACATGTCTGTTATTTCACAATAATGGGGATGGTCTTTCTAGAACCATCTGCCCTTTTCCAGTGGTCAGGGGCTAGCCTTAGCCAGACAAGGTGTTGGGAAGGACAAAATCTGTGGAACAGCCTATGGCTGTTTGGTCCATCTGGGAGCAGAATATTCTACAGTGCAACTTGGTCCTTCTGGGAGTAGAATTGGGTTTAACAACTTTACTCTCTAACATCAAGGACTCAAGTCTGCGCAGCAGAGGAATCCTGCCCACATCAGTACAGCTGGTCTGCTCTGGTCTGCCCAAGACTTCAGACCTTAGACCAGACGGCAGAGGCAAGGACCCTGGTGAAAGGGCGGCCAGGGGTCACAGGAGGCTACCTTCCAGCAGTGAGAAATTGAGGATGCCCAAACTCCTCAGTGAACATCCTTGGGCCTTCTGGGTCTTACACTTCCCCCTACAGATCAACTGACCCTCACCTACTTCCCCCTCCTCCCATTGAGGACCCCAGTTTAAGATAAACACTAAAAGTCAGGTCTCTAGAGACAGGGGCTGTGTGTCTCGGGAGGGGGTGGGGGAGCGGTGTGCGAAACTCCAGGGTGTTAGTATCACTGTGCAGGAGGCTTAAAGTTCAACTTGGGGGTTGTGATGGACAGAGTTCCAGGTTTAGAGGCTCAGAGTCCAGACTAACAAAAGGGCTCAGGACGGAGGGAGGCTGGAATTTGGGGCAAAGGGGGCCGTGAAGTCCAGATTTATGGTGGGCAAAGGAATCGGTTGAAATCCAGGATGGAGTGTCTGGGTTCTGAGGGGATCGGTTTGGGATCAGGGATTCCTGGAAGCTGGAGTCTGAGCCCAAGGCCACACTGAGGGTGAGGGGCTCAGGGGGCATGGAGCCAAGGAGGGAGCAGAGGCAGGGTAAGGGTGGGCTCGGCCGAGGTTACACACAGCGCTGGGAGTCGAAGCCGTCCCCAGTGATGGTGAGCAGCTCCAGCTCCTTAATCCGGATCTCCAGCTCGCACAACTCCTCGGGATGGGAGGCAGAGGCTAGCCGGGGGGTCGTGGGGCCGGGGGCCAGGGGCGAGACAGCCACCTCGGGCCCCGGCTGTGGCGAGTAGAAGAAGCGCAGAGGCTCGTAGGGGATGGAGGCCAGGCCGGAGGGCCAGGGCGGGGGACAGGGGCGCTCACTGGGGGAACCCAGGCCAGGCGGCGGTGGCGGCAGGGGCGCTGGGGCAGGGTGCGCCTGGGGCAGAGGCTGGCTCCCAGTCGCCCCGCCCGCCGGCGCCCCTCCCGCCTTCAGCGGCACGAAGAGCTTCTTCCAGATGTTGAAGTCGCTGAGCGGGGACGAGGAGATGCCGCGGTCATAGAGGGACGGGAAGTAGAGGGGCGGGGCCGGCCGCTGGCTCCTCGTGGGGCTCTGGCTGCCGCGCCGCCCCTTCGGCATCTTTTGAACGGGAAGGTGAGTGGGAGGAACCCCGTGCCGGGAGACGCGAGCCCTGGCCCCGAGTCACCCTGGTTCTGAGGTTCCACAGGCCACGCCCCGAGGGAGAGCGGCCCCCACCCTTTCGCCCGGCCCCGCCCCAAACAATCAAGATTCTAAAGCCCCGCTGGCCACGCCCCAGAATATGACCACGCCCACCGACGCGCCCCTAGAGTGAGAAAGGCCAGCGGAGTAGCTGGAAAGGGAAATCCCGCACGTACGCCCTGATGTGCGACCCGTCCCCTCCGGGCGCTCCGCCAACATCCTCGACGACAGGTCCGGGTCCTCCAGATCCCGCCCCACGACTCCTCCTACCGCCCCTAAATTCCGCAAGCCTCACAACCGAGCTACTGCACCCCTGGCGCCTGCTCTCGCATCCCGCCATAACTTCATGCAAAAGTAGGAAGCTGGGAGCTGGTCAGAACTCCGAGGGAAAACTTTCTTCAGTCTTCCTCTCCTTCTATAGGGAGAAAAAAAATTCCTAGAAACTTGCCCCCTGCCCCAGCAGACTTCCCTTACCACTCCTCATTGCAAAGAAGTTTAGGGACAGGAGTGTCTGACTTTTCCTCCTTTACAACGGAAGAAGAGGGTAGATGGGAATGGCTGTTAGAGCCAACCCATGTTTCTACCAAATTTCCCAGTGTTGTGGACGATTCTGGAAGAAAGGGACCCTGGTATGGATTTGGAATAGATCTGAACTAGGTGTCTTCAATGAAATGTAGTTTAGTTCTCTTCCGAACATTCATTATCAGGAGCTAACAGGCAGTAAACGAACCACCAAAAGGAAATCCTGCAGAATGGCCCTCGAACAGCTCAGCTCTTCTTTACGGTGTCTTGGACATACTGTCCAAGGGACATGCCCAGCTCATATAGATGAGTAGCCTGTAGTAATCATAGACTGAGGGTGAGTAAATTTCCTTGAAAACGTCTGCCTAATGATATCGATGTAAATGAACAAAGACGGGTGGGGGCCAGTTTAGACTGTTGGCCAGTCAAGATCTGAGTCAGTACCAGCTCCACTAGCAAATGCTGTGTGTGTGTGTGTGTGTGTGTGTGTGTGTGTGTGTGTGTTTGGCAGCAAAGCAGAGAGAATCAGATATCCAAGATGGACAAGTTGCTTGACTTCTAAGATGGCTTTCTGTAAAATAAAAATAAGAGAACCAGGCTGCCTCATAGGGTTGTTTGTGATAATCAGATGGAAGACAGAATAGTGTGTGTGAAGCACTTGTAAACTTAGAAACTCTGTCCAAATGTAAGGAGCAGCAACCCCCACTGAGGGGCTTGTCTGAAGCTGAGAAGATTTTCCTCCCCACACTTACCTGTAAGCTCCTTGAGGGCAAGGGTCCAGCTCAAGGATCCTATAATGCTGAGCATATAATAGGATTCAATAAATATTTGGACACTTTTAAAACAGTGTTATGTGTTGTGGGAACTGAAGGGGATCACAATATACCACCCCCAAATATGCCACTTTGGCATAAGAATTATTTTAAGTTGGCAATTGAAAAAAGCAGACACAGGAGGAACTTCCTCCTCTCCTTTTATGGCCTAAAAGCAGGCCATAAATTTCCCTTTGTAAAGGTAACAAAATTTCCTTTGTAAAGAAAATAAATTTCCCTTAGTGAAGGTGTCCCCAACTCCCTCTCCCGTGCCAGGAAGAAGAGATGACCCTTATTACTGGAGATGGCACTAACTTGAGCCTGCATAACAGACCTTACCAAACAACCCTTGTCTTCCATAAGTTTCCCCCGTATACTTACCTTCCCACCATTTACCTAGAAATTAAAAGGCCTAGAAATCCAAACCCCTTTCCCTTTGTCTTATCATTTGTTCGCAATTTAACACCCTTTGTTGAAATGGTTTCTGAGCTCTCAAGCCTAAACACTTCTTTGGGTTTTCATTACTTTTCTGTAAGGCCCACATATGCATACATAATAAATCTTTTCTCCTGTTAATCTGTCTTTTGCTACTTTAATTCTCATGACCCAGCTACTGAACCTAAGGGAGTTGAGGAAAAGTTTTTTTTTCCATTCCTACAGTAGTAGGAACCATAGTAGTAGTAAGAACCAGGGTTTGGGACTCAGGCCTGGGACTGAGCCCTGGATCCACTATGTATTTATTTGGCTGTGTAGGTTGAACCTTTCTGAACCTGTTTTTCATCTATATAATGGGACTAGTAATGGTACCTAATTGCTTGGATTGTCAAGATTAAATGAGACAATCTAAGTACCTGGCCGTAATACCTACTCAGTAAATGTTAGCACTTGTTATTACCTATTGAAGATCCTTAGAATGGAAAGAGATTTTGCATTATGTTTTTTATAGTTTATTTTTATTAAACTATATTATTTACTACTACTAATATTATTAAATAATAAAATAATATGATTAAATAATATTATTAAACTATTATTTTTAATTTATTTATTTTTGGCTGCGTTGGGTCTCTGTTGCTGCACACGGGCTTTCTAGTTGCAGCGAGCGGGGGCTGCTCTTTGTTGCGGAGCATGAGCTCTAGAGCACGGGCTCAGTAGTTGTGGCGCACGGGTTGCTCCGCGGCATGTGGGATCTTCTCGGATCAGGGCTCGAACCCGTGTCCCCTGCATTGGCACACGGATTCTTAACTACTGCGCCACCAGGGAAGCCCACGTTATGTTTTTTAAATGATGTGATATAATCACATGTTTTTACTTGTATTTATCCATTCAAAGAGAAAAACCTTCCAGATGTTTTTTCTTAACCCCAAGATAATCTAAACAGATTTGATACTGGATGGCTTGCTTATAACACAGTTGTATGAGACAATGGGTTAAAAAGGTTGTTTCCTCTAACAACCACACTACAAGAAAACTCAGGCGCCATAATGAACAAACACTGAGATAAACCCCAGTTTGGAAGTGAAGTCCATATGGGGTCATAACAAACCATGGTAGTTAAGGCAGAACCCTACCGATTATTTCTGCAAACAAAGGTCCGGGAAATTCAAGTCGCTAATGAAAAGATGAGCAGGCTTGCATGCATTTTAAACAGAACTCTTCTCTCCCTGCGGTCTAAAGCTCTTGTATCACCTGCCTCTTCCCCCAAATCTCCATTAAGTGCCATCCTGTTGGGACTTGAGGGACACAATTCCTAACACACCTGCCCCCTGCCTGCGTTTGGAACCAACTGAGAAAGACACACACGAGTCCTTTTTTGCTGCTAAAGGTCAGCTGGAGGATGCTGCTATCGGTCTGGCAGCCAGGTGGGCTTCCTGATACTGCACCTCTCAGGTGAGCTCACCCACGCTGCGCAAGGCCCTCTGGGAAAACCACAGGCCTCGTGTGCAGGGAAGGGGCCTTTACCGGCACAGTGAAGAGCTGGCCAAGAACCGACCTGGTCCTTTCTCCTAACTCACTAAGCAGGGCAGTCCTTCCTCCACTCTCTGGAGAAGAGGGGCCAGGAGGGTCACTCTTAAGAATCATGACGCTGCGGGATGTAAGTTCCTCCCAACACTCTGATTTAAATTTTCTATTTAACCCAGGCTGCCTCTCTGCAGTTGGGGCTTATAATTTTCCATTGCCACAGCCCTCTCCAGAAGGTCCTGGGAGTACCTGGGGTGCTGTTCACCTGGTTCTCTCCGTCATGGGACTGCTGGAGATGGTACAGAAAGCCTCCCCTGGGAGTCCCCTTCCCCTCCATCACTCTAACTCTGCATCTAGACACACTGCTGGCCGTCACATCTTCACTAGGGTCTCTGCCTCTTGAGGGGTGTGTCACGATTTGCCACGCCTGCCTTGGCTCTGGGTGGCTTTTAGGGACATGCAGTGTTTGTGGCTTGGAATACAACAGCGTTTTTTATGAAGAGAATGTTTGTGTCCCACCCAAATTCATATGCTGAAATCCTAACTCCCAGTGGGAGGGTATTAGGAAGTGGTTAGGGCATGAAGAAAGAGCCCTCCTGAATGGGATGAGTGACCTTAGAAAAGAGAGCTCCCTTGCCCCTTCCGCCACATGAGGGCACAGGAGACAGCCACCTATGAACCAGGAAGTGGGGTCTCACCAGACACCAAATACACTGTAGCTGTGATCTTGGACTTCCCAGCATCCAGAACTATGAGAAATAAATGTTTGTTGTTTAAGCCACCCAGTCTATGGTATTTTTGTTATAGCAGCCTGAACCAACTGAGACAAGAGTCGTGTCTGAATCAGGACCCCTTGTGACTCTGCGAAAGTCATGCCACCTCCCTGATCCTCCATTTTCTGACCTATAAAATGAAGATAACATCTACATCACAAGGTTGGTGTATTTGATGAAAATACGTATAAGCAGTACCTGGGACACATCACGGGTGCTCAATGAGGTGTGACTATGATTAGTATTCAGTTACACATGGATTCCTTAATTCAGCATTAGGTCCTGGTAAATTGATGAGAAAAATGGAGCAGGGGATCTCTCCTCGAAAATCAAACCCACTCCAGATTGAAAAGCCCTACACCCTAGAAGCTGATTCCCTGTTGTCCTGCTGAAGCCAGTGGTAGTGAAACCGCAGAATGCGTTTCGGGACTTAGTAGAGCATAGGTTCTCCTGTCTTGGCACAGAATTCAGTGAGAGGCAGAGTGACAGGTAAGGAAAGAGTTTATTAATAAAGGATGCTTGTGAGAAATACAAGCTGGCAGGCAAGGGAGTGACACCCTGAGAACTTAGTGGGCTACAGTTTTATAATCAAAGGAAGAGTGGAGAGGGGGAGAAGAACACCTTCTTCCTCATTCTTCAGTAAACATCAAGCTTCCATCATTAGCTCCTCCTCCACAGCAGGGCGGGGGGGGGGGGTTTCTTGTCCCTACATAGTCAACCCGGAACTGTCATGGTGCTGTGGAAGTGAGCAAAAAGGTGGTAACATATAGTAAGATATGGTAAATCATCTCAGGTTTCAGTATAATGTCACCTTTCTCCTATATTTCTGCTCTTAGTACAAGCAGATAAATCCCCTTCTCAAGGACGATTAACTTGCTGACTTCAAGGGGCGTGATGTAGGACTCATTCCACAATTGTTTTATTGTTTGGGGGCATGTCTCATGCTTCTGTGGTATGGTTTTTTTGCCAAGCAAGTCTGTGTGGTTTTGTTGCTAGGCAAGCCTGCTTGGTTTCGTTGCTAAGCAAGCCTGCTTTCTTGAGTGATCATGAACTTACAGGGGTCTTCCACACTGTTCTTTCTATTTAAGATCCCCTTTGGGATGAACTATTTAATCACCTACTTTGTCCCTTTACTCTGTCCCTATAGTAGTAAACACATAAAGAGAGGCTACTGCGTGCCAGGTACTTGTCTTCACTAATTTCGTCTTTCTAACAACCCCTAGAAGTAGGTGATGTTATCCCCATTTTCCAGGTGAGGAAACTGAGGCACACAAGGTTAAGTAACTTACCTGAGGTCCTGTGGTTGGTTAGCGTCAGAGCTAGTGTTCCACACGGGCAGGCTGGCTCCAGTGCTCAGTCTCTTCACCACTCCCTGCTACAGCCTCCCAACTGTTCTCTCAGCCCGCAGGCGAGGCCACCTTCCTGCCCTCTGGCTTCCCGTCCTCTTCCTGGCAGGGGGCTGGCTCTAACTGGAAGTTGTTTGTGCCACAGTTCAAGGGCCCAGCTATTCTGGGAAGCATGGAACAGTCTTTTCTTTATTACTCATTTGAAGTAACCATTGTGTTGGTCTGAACCTGGGCGTGGGTAGGGAGCAGGCATTCCCACCTCCCTTCCCAGCATCCACGATTTCAAGAAAGTTTCTAAAAAATGCAGCCCAGCCCTTATTCTTGTTTCTCTTGGTGGATGTGTTCCTCTGCATTTGCAGAGTAGGTACAGTTTTTAATAAACTGAAGCCTGGGAGGTAGATTCCCTGGCATGGAGAGTACAGGGGTTTGGAAGATAAGAGCTGAGTCTAACCATCAACCAGCATGAACCAGCTATGCAAGCCTGGGTGAAATAATTGTCACTAACACTTATTGTCCACTTACTGTGTTTTCATGTATCCTGACAGTAACACTTACAGGGGTAGGTCTGTCAGAATTTTCTGTTCACAAGCAACGGAGGTTGATACTGAGGATTTACACAGAGGTCTGTGAGACAGCTCATGGAATTAAAAGCTTAAGAATTAGGTTTAGGGCTTCCCTGGTGGTGCAGTGGTTGGGAATCTGCCTGCCAGTGCAGGGTACATGGGTTCAAGCCCTGTTCCGGGAAGATTCCACATGCCCCGGAGCAGCTAAGCCCGGGTGCCTCAACTACTGAGCCTGAGCTCTAGAGCTTGCAAGCCACAACTACTGAGCCCACAAGCCACAACTACTACAGCCCATGCGCCTAGAGCCCGTGCTCCACAACAAGAGAAACCACCGCAATGAGAAGCCCTCGCACCACCACGAAGAGTAGCGCCCGCTCACCTCAACTAGAGAAAGCCCGCGCACAGCAATAAAGACCCAACACAGCCAAATATAAATAAATTTATTTAAAAAAAAAAAGAATTAGGTTTAGAAGGTGCAGAGACCAGGTAGGAGGAAGGAATCAGTAGCCTGTTCAGTGTGGCCAATGGGGTGGTAGATGCTATTGGCTGGCTATTCTCAATGACTGTTTTAAACCCTTTTCCCTCGTTGCCTTCCCTACAGAGGCTGGAAACTGTGCCAGCCCCCGTGCAGCTAGGAGTAGCCATGAGACACAGTTCTAGTCAGAAGACATGAAGAAGGTACCTGGGAGCTTTCTGGGAAAGATTGCACTTTCCTTATAAGAGGGACAGAAACAACTGAAGCTTTCGCCTCATCTCCTTTGCCTGCCTAGAACCCAGATGCAATGCTGACACTTCTGCAGTCACTTTGTGATCAGGAGGGAAAGACCAAAAATAGCACAAATATCCCAGCCCAGACATCACTGAGCAGCTAAAACAACGCTAGTGGCTGCCCACCTCCAGATTGTTTATGCAAGGAAACCAGACTCTATCTGATTAAACTACTCTAAATTGGGTTTTCTGTTACTTGTACCTTTCCTGAGACTCACAGCTTCAACCAAAAAATTTTTATCAACCCTTGCATAATTCAAGACTCAAATTCCCGGAGAGAACATGCCTGTCTTTTGGCTAGAGGAGGCGCAGTGGTTGGGACCAGTGGTTAGACCAACTTTATTAACAGTTCCACCAAGACTGCACTTAAAGGGTGAAAGTAATTCCCCAAAAGGTAATTATGGCTCTGTTACAAGAGGGAGGAGGAGAGATGCCGAGTGGCTAAAAGTCAAATGTCCTTTACTGTAGGTACCACTGTTACAACTGATGACGATACAGAGGCTCAGAGTGGTGAGGTAGTATGCTCAAGACCTCAGAGCTAGCCAGTGATAGAGGCATAAAAAGGACTCTTTACAACTATGCTGCATATGTATGCCTTTTAAGTAAAGGTCTGTTGCAGTTTAGGTTTTACTGTAAACCTAAACTAAAAAAAAAAATCTCAAGGCTACTTTATTCACATAATATACGTATTATTTCCATTCCAATTTTTAGTGTACTCTTAACTGCTTCCTATAGCTCAGGGAGGAAGGGGTTTAGTTAGCAACTGTCAGTTAACCCTTCTCACTCGTAGTTGTCTTCATCAGGGATGTCTGGTTGCAAAGAACAGAAACTTTCTCAAACTAGTTCAAGCAATCTTACTGAATCCAAGGGCGAGTCACCTGGGCCCCACTGTCCCACTCAGTGAAATGGGCAGGGACTGTAGTTTGTAAACACTCTGATGGGTTTGGGTATAGGCAATACTATTGCATAGTTACTGAAAAAAATTAAATGAACTCATATAAATACAGTGCCTAGACTAGTGCTGGCACACGGTTAGGCCCTCAAGTTGTGACCCACTATGCTCCCTGTTCAAAAATTTGGAGCCGGTCCCATTTTGTCTACCCTTGTAGAGTTTACAAATTACAATGCTAAGTTCCAGTTCCGGTCATAGCACCGTAAGCCAACACTGCTCACATACAGGATCAGGATGCTGGGGTTGGCTAACTTGCACATGGCTGATAATAGCAAGGTGGGAAAAGCAGCACCCCCAGGGAAGCTGATCACAGGAAGGAAGCTCCCTACTCCACAATCAGAGTCTTGAGTTTCCCAGGTCAGTGCACTCGCCCCCTGTAGGGTTCATGCTGTCCCACCCCCTCTCCCAGAGGCTCTGGACTCCCCAGCTGCCAGGTGGGAAAAGAACATCCTTACCAACAAGGGATCCTTGTAGACACTGACCTGGAAGTTAAGTACTGTGGTCATTTATTTTATTCCAAAACAACATGTGCCTATGAATAGGAAGCTTTACATTTATTTAGATAAATAAACAGTTTATGGTGAATAATCCTCTAAGAAAATGTTAAAGATCATCTCTGGTCAGCTTCTACTTTGGTCAAAGCCAGAGGTTAGTAAACACACTGTGGTTCCCTGTAGATTCTGAGACCCCTGGAGCGTCAACAACCCTGTGCTCCAGGTAACCTACATTTTTATTATAGTCCACTTCCCACCTGCTGGACACTGCAGATGCATGGCCTCAAGCCTCACAACAATTCTCTGAGGTAGGTGCAGGAAGCCAGAGCTCAGAGGTGTTCAGAAAACATGTCCAGGGACTTCCCTGGCGGTGCAGTGGTTAAGACTTCACCTTCCAATGCAGGGGGTGTGGGTTCGATCCCTGGTCCGGGAGCTAAGATCCCACATGCCTCACGGCCAAAAAACCAAAACATAAAACAGAAGCAGTATTGTAACAAATTCAATAAAGACTTTAAAGATGGTCCACATCAAAAACAGAAAAATCTTAAAAATAAATAAATAAAATAAACAAAAACTTGTCCAGAGACATAGCCAATTAGTGGAAGAGACAGGATCCGAATTGAGGTTCCCAAAGGCAAACTCCATGCACTTAACAGCTACTATCCTGAAACAAAATATTTACAAGAATCAGTGGGCCTTTTGAAACAGACTGGCAAACACAGTGTTTTGAAATTACCTCCTGTTTCTGGAAAGGTCTAACTAGGTATGTAAAGCTCACACCATTGGGTAATCTAACTGTCAGTAAAAGACAACTGTACTTAATATTTTCCTTTCTAAGAAAAGGCAGGAATTGATTCCTTCAAAGCACAAAGTCACGAGGGTCCCATTCCAGGTTTCTTTCCAGAGTCAGACTGGAGTACATTTAGAGCAGTACATTTAGGGCAGCTGAGTGGTTGACCTGGGGAATTGAGTGGGCATCCTAAACTTACCAACATATTAACTTGGTGACCTTGAGCAATTCAGCTAACTTCCCCAGATGAAATTTGCTCTTAAGCAAAGTGAGATAACGACAGTACGGATAAAAATACTCTGTAATGACCTATAAGGGAAAAGAATCTAAAAGAGTGGATATAAGTATATGTATAACTGATTCGCTTTGCTGTACAGCAGAAACTAACACAACATTGTAAATCAACTATACTCTAATAAAAATTAATTTAAAAAACTACATGTAAAACACGCCGCATAGAACCTCACACTAGAAAGCACCCTTCATCTCAGTGCTCGGCATGTCAGTACAACCTCCAGTCAGCTCTGCACCTTCTCAGCACATCAGCATCCCTTAGAGGGAACTGTTAGCATTAGTCAAGATCTGTTTGGAAGCAGCAAGACCAATGTGAGCTAGTAGACTTTCAATATTGATGAGGGACTTACAATGTGCAGATAAATAATCTGGCCCTGCTGAGGGTTCAAACTCTCAAGGGGCCCAAAGTCCAAAACATGTGGGCTGGCAGGCTCTTACTTTATCAGGACACACACTGCATGATGTTAAGTCATGGGGCCAACTGCAAGGACACAAAAGTAGACCTGTACCTCGAAGCTCAGTACTTCCCAAAGTTGGACACTGAGCCAGTATCCTTCAGGACATACTACGAGTTCCACTTATCTATCCACTGGGTGTACCTTGCATCTATCTATAGCTCATCCCCCAAAAGAGACGATCCAGCGGGGTTGTCACCACCCAATACTGAACGCAAGACTATTGACTCTCCAACTCATCTGGCCTTTACAGTATTGCCTCCGGGTCCAGACATCTAACCCTTAGTCTGTGGTATCAGTCATAGCAACTATCTGCAGAAAGAAACCTCGAAGCTTAAGGCCATTTATACAGCCCTTGCTGATTGACTCCCAGCAGCCCTCTCCCCAGCTCCCCATTTAGCAACACCCAGATTCTGCCTTAGAGAATTACCCCCTTCTCAATGTACTCTGGCCCCAAAGTGGGCAGGAGACCCAAGAAAGCAGTCAGACAGTCTCACCCTGTCATCTGAATCTTGAAAGAGATTTCTGGAACTGCCCAACTCCTGTTTTTGTTTTTTTTTTAATCTCTCTGACTGACTCTTCTGCTCTCCTCTTCCACTTTTAAGGGTGTGTGTGATTACATTTGTTTCACCTTCTCCCTATTTTATTTTATTTTTATTATTTTTTAATAGCTCTTTATTGGAGTATAATTGCTTCACAATACCGTGTTAGTTTCTGTTGCACAACAAAGCGAATCAGCAATATGCATACACATGTCCCCATATCCCCTCCCTCTTGCGTCTCCCTCCCACCCTCCCTATCCCACCCCTCTAGGTCATCCCAAAGCACCGAGCCGATCTCCCTGTGCTATGCTGCTGCTTCCCACCAGCCATTTTACATTTGGTAGTGTATGTATGTCGATGCTACTCTCACTTCGCCTCAGCTTCCCCCTCCACCCCATGTCAACAATTCCATTCTCTATGTCTAACTCTTTATTCCTGCCCTGCAACTAGGTTGATCAGTACCCACCTTTTTTTTTTTTTTAGATTCCATATATATGCGTTAGCATACGGTATTTGTTTTTCTCTTTCTGACTTACTTCACTCTGTATGACAGACTCTAGGTCCATCCACCTCACTACAAATAACTCAATTTCGTTTCTTTTTATGGCTGAGTAATATTCCATTGTATATATGCGCCACATCTTCTCCATCCATCCATCTGATGATGGACATCTAGGTTGCTTCCATGTCCTGGCTATTGTAAATAGAGCTGCAATGAACATTGTGGTGCATGCCTCTTTTCTTTAAATTTATTTTATTTATTTATTTTTGGCTGCTTTGGGTCTTCATTGCTGCACACACAGGGGCTTTCTCTAGTTGTGGTGAGCAGGGGCTACTCTTCATTGTGGTGCGCAGGCTTCTCATTGCGGTGGCTTCTCTTGTTGAGGAGCATGGACTTTA